GATAGTATCCATGCGGACTAGTTGAGACTGGTTTCAGGAGTTGTTAACGGTAAAGTGAGATGGAAACAGATTGTTCAAATAGCGAGAACTGATGGGTCAGGGGTTGGTGAAATGTCTTTTATAGTCATCGTGAGTATCACAGATAGCAGGGTGATATTGATAAGATGTGATTCAACCATCTCGCATGTCAGACTGTCTTATCAGTAGTAACATCTGAAACCACTAACTCAGATGCTAAGAAACGAGAGTATCTTTAGAGATAAACCCACGTCTTTTGTACTGAACACAGTTTTAATGTCACCTCATCAAGATGAAGTCTCTCTAATTACACAAGACTTTCTAGATCTAGAGTAACAGCCAATTATACGGGACTATCTAGAGCCCTCCTCCTCCGCAAACTGCCGCCACTTCTCAACAATCCCACATACCTCATGAACCCCCTAAATCTACACAAATACACCACCGGGTTAACGGCCGCGTTAAACCCCACATTATACACAAACACAAACACAGTCAGATAGTTACTGAAGATGTCCACCAACCCCACGATAAACATGACACTGTAAACCACCACGGGGAGGTTCAGTACCAGATACACTGCCGTGATGATGACTATGGTAGTTGAGGTGAACCTCCTCTCCTCACCCCTCCCTCTATCTGCATACTCTGCTGAGAGTGAGGTTTTAGAGAGCACTGGACTGACAGCACACAACTCATCATGATGGGGAGGAAGGGGAGGAGGTTGAGGAGGATGAAGACGGAGGTGAAGATGAGGAGGTAGTGGTGAGGAGGTATGTCCCAGCCACAGAACACCAGAGATCTAGAGTAGGTGTAGCAATCATGGTGCCAGAAGGGAGGAGGCGATGAGGAGGAGGCGGGGGTGTAGAGTAAGAAGGGGTCCATGTGTAACGTTTCTGCCTGGAGAAAAGGGGAGAGAAGGGAGATTGTTGCGACTGAACACTGAAACTGCCACCAGGAACACACTGAGTCAGCAGATATAAAGAAAAGACCCCCCACAAGTGACATATTAACAGTGTAGGAGAGGAACATAGGGCCCGGTGTAGGAAGTGGGACAAACCCGCAGAACATCAGGAACACCGTACCAGTCAACTGTGACAATGCTGAGGTATAGGATGTTTGGAGTGTTCTCTTCCGAGAGGTGAAGTAGCCCAGAGCTAGGATGTTTCCTAGAGTTCCAAGAGTGAAGCACGTGATTAGAAGCACCCAATACCCACATCAACATCATTGCTGTACAGGGGGGCTGAGGTGGAACTGGTGGTGGGAAGTGTAGAACTCATTGAGGAGTCAGGCAGATGAAGATAGTTATACTGATATGGTATAACTTGATCTTTTTGTGGAGGTGACGAAAGTGATCGTCTTGAGAAATATTGAATGATTGTGTATTGTTTGAAGTGAAACAATACATAGCAGGAAATTGATATATGATCATAAGTAAGGCCAAGAATAAGTTTCATGTCAAGTACCCCAAACGTACTTTTTATTTAGCCAGATTACAGGTTTGTACCACATCGCGAAGAGTCCATTCATATTCGACTTGCGGTACAAGAGTATTATAATGTTAATATTGTGTATTGCATAGTGGACAGGGCGACAGCTTAAATATTCATCATACGTTATGTCGTCAATAAAATAATTATTATAATTATACCAATATTATGGTCATCAATTCCTTGGTTTGACATCATGACAAAGCTTAAATGTTACGAAACTATACTATAATTAATGAAAGGCTGTATACTGATTTACTAGTATTCCAGTGACGTCACCATTCACCAACTCAATACAATAGAGCAATGGCATTATCTGATATGACGTTAACGAATACCATAAAATGAATCAATTCATATAATTTATAAAATCTCTACCCAAGAGTTTAATTGTCAACAGACGTATTCCAGAAGATTATAATGTACAGAAGGGAACTACACGGGTCATAATAAAATAAAAAGAAACCTACAAGTCCCGGTTACCTGGTTCCCATAGTGCTGCACCCTGATATGACAATATGTGCGCGACCAGTTAACCATCATTGACAGTTTACCTAGTTTATATTGACTGGTTGAACTGATGTGCATCTCTCCAAATTCCCTCAACCGTTTTGATTTGTCATTTGTTTCATTTCCACAGACATTCGATTGGCGAGACTAAAGGCATATTTTTGGAAATTAACAAAAGTATTTAATTAATTATCTAACTTTTAAAACAATCTCGAAATAGTAAAAGAAACATCTTAAGAGACTGATAAGTGCCCAAAAAAACATAACAGTTCTCCTGAAAAAAATGGTTAATTATGAGGTACATAAAAAATTTTTTTGTTCTCCACAAAACTCTGTTAGAGCAGTACCCTTAGATCATAAAGATCATTAATATCACGTATGGTAAGTTTCTTTTATTCAATCATTTATAATAAACTATAAAAGATAACTTTGGTGTCCGACCAACACATCTTTCATGTAAAATAACGCATTAACAGCATATTGAAGAGCTCTCTGAGCTGGTGATGAGCAGTCACTGCGAAGGACAGTCAAGCATTTTCCCCAGCGAGCATATGTCACTCGTCTGACAACGGTGTTACACCACAGCGTTCATAGAGGCTTAATACTGATAATAATGGGATATAGTCATCTTCAATATTTGACGCAGTGTCTTCTATGACATCATCAAGTTTGGTCAAATAGTTCTGAGGGTAGCCCCGCTATTGCATATAGAGCATAACAGATGTAACGTTGCTTCATAAATCTTAAGCTTTGCCTTCAGATTAACTTAGATCCTTTGCACCAACTTTCTTGTATTTTTTCGAATGCAACATTTCCAAGGATTATACGATGCTGTATGTCTTCTACCTACATAGCTTAGAGCCTAGGGACACACACTTCCTCCAAGGTTCTCTATTTCTTAGAGGTTCCCTTTTCGTCCTTCTCACTACTTCCAGCCAGATAACACTTTAACAAACTTCGGTTTTAGATTCATTCACAAACAAATTCCATTCTGAAGAATTTTTCTTGCAAATTGGAAGGAGCTGGTGTAACGAATCCTCATCTCATCAGCAAAGTCCACATCATCAGCATATTCCCATTCTAAAGGAATGGAGCTTTCAGATATGGGGGATTTGGCGTAGATGTATAACAACAACTCTAAGTGGTAGAGGTGCTCCCACTAGGTACATGGTATACAGCGAGCAGACTAACATCACCTTGAAAGGCTCCTATGTGACTTCGAACCTCCAATGTCGTCTTTTGATTCTTAATTCTGAGCTTGGTGTTAGCGAGCAGTATCTAACTAGTCATATGTCATCTTCTGAGCATCCTGCATCTTCGAGTAGCCTGAGGATAGTTGACGACATGTCTATCCCCATTTTACTAAACTCCCAATGTTTCTCCTGACAACAGAAATAAGACCCTTTGTGTCCAACAAATATTCGAGCAGCTGTGTCCTGATTTATAGCATTCTGCCATGGCCCAGTGTAGTTCTGCTAATCAGTTTGTTGAATACCTTGAGTGTTATCATGAAAGGATTTGCCTAGTTCCATTGAAAGCACAAGGGACGCAGACTCTAACTGGTCCTTTTGTTTTTCCAGGCTTCTGTATGGGGTACGATTCCCTCAGTGAACGATTGGAACGAGCTCTTGTTTTTCAAAGGACTCATTGATAAGTGATGCAAACTTATGTAGAAAGAAAGGAGGTGCATACTTAAGGAATTCGTTGGGAGGTTGTCAGGGGGGGGGGGGGGACAACTGCTTTACCGTTTCTTTAGTTTCTTGGCTGCTGTCTCAACTTCAAGTGTAGTTATAGGCCGTATCAATGGCGTAGCACCTCCTACAAAAGTTATAGTGGGTTCTGGGTCTGTGTAATGTTTCCATGAACCATTTTCTTGACTATGTCTGCCTTATCTTCGTCATTGAGAGCAAGTTCTTACTGGTTTTCTGGTAGGGAATACAGAAATAGGAGGAGTGTCCCTTGGTCGTGAAAAGCTCTGGTTGCTTCGAACATTCTTCTGGTATCATCAGTGGATTTGATCGTCCTCAGCTAGAAGTTCCGCATGACGTTACAAGTGTAATAAGGCGCTTTGCAATGTCATTCTTGAGTCTGTTGAATTCCTTACCAGGATAGTTTTCTGTCACGCATTGTGTTGTCAGTTTAAATGTTGTAGTAATTGGGTCTCTTTCTGAATAGAGACGACTTGTGGGTCTGATGTTCTGAGACGTTTGGCTGTGTTTCTTTTCCGACCCACTGTTTCTGATGCAGCAATTTAAACCGCCTCGAAAAGTGTTAAAACTTGCAGGCCTGACTGGGCAGATGTATCAGTTTCAATCTTCTGAGCAGCATTTTGTTGAAAGGAAATTGAACAATCTTTGCTACAAACCAATGATTTTGGTGTTATAGCTGTTTGACTGTGTGTTGAAGTACTGTAAAGTTTTGTAACGTTTACGGAGTTCAAAGTTGCTTTTACAATTTTGGTGATCAGATTGAAGTTTTGCACCCGCGTAAGACCTAGCGTCAACAAGCAGAGGGGTACTTCAGATCTACATAAAACATAATCAATTTGAGAAAACCAGGTACAGACATTTTGGATCTACGTCTTAATCCCATCCTGTAAAAGTGTTGGTGTGGTCTGCTAAGCATGTGAAAATCAGTGTTGGCTGCATAAGAGTCCATTTAGTGATCATGAAGCTAGCAACCTTTCGCCATTTTCGTTACGCGACCAATACCAAACTATTGGGGTTTTTTTCATCCCATGTTAAGTTGAAGACCACTTTTCAAATCTGAATTTAAGTTCGTTTTCCCTAGCTAGCATAAAATCCACCCTGATTAAAAGTTTCATTCTGGCAGAATTCTGATAGCTTCCTGAGCTCACAGTACAACTCATCAGCACTGCGTGGGTTTTGTATAGATTTGACCATTAGTTGGACTGTAGCAATTAAATACGGGCTTTCAGTGATGGTTTCCCATGACCCTTTGATGGTAGAGAAAGGTCCATGTATGCTACTCTTCACTGATTTGATGGTACGAGACAACATTTTGATACAAATTACTGTTGATCATAAAAACCGAGTCCCGCCTGCCAAGACAACTTCTGGTTTAAACAAAAGAAGCCTGTTGGTTGCCGGTATAACAGTGTCCTGAGTGTTTAGACACCTTAGTTCTTGGAGGGCTATAACATCAAGTTGTATCTGTTGCAATCATTTGCAGCTAGATGCGCGAGTGTTCCTGACTAATGCCTCTAAACATTCCAGTGGCGAAGTGGAGAGATGCCAACGTGAAAAAACCGAACAAAACAAAGCTGAGAGAAGAACTTAGGCTCTTGGAAGCGTCAGACGTTCATGTCGTAATAGTACTCCCTGCGTGCCCGTCACAGCAACACACCATCCTAAAAAAAAGTATTTACATGTTAAATTAGTGGCACTCTGCACTTATGAACAATGGTTTTTGCTAATTACAGTCAGCAATTTTACTAAAAAACAAGCACCCAAACTTGACGAGGACGATCATGTTGGTCCTGTTGCTGCTGCCAGAAAATGAGGCATAAACCCACTGCCTGAATGGACATAATACCGTATCTTATTAGTGAAACGATTTACTGAGTATGTAGGTAAATATCTATCCCTTCTGTTTTTTAAAAAACTGAGGCTCGAACTTTCCACGCTTTGTTGCACACTGGTCATATCATACGACATCAGCTGCTTTGATCTTGGGTTTGTGTTGTTCATTTTCAGATAAACAAAGTTCTTTCTGCACGCAAAATGAATAACGTAGAGAATGGCCTCAAAGTGTCCTTGATTTCATTGAAATACAACTTGAGCTATTTACTAGGCATTTACACCAGTAGCTGTATTGTGGACCATTGAGTTAAAAATACCATTATAGCTAAATGATCCTTAAGGTAGAAACCTGTGTTTGCCTTGAAAAACATCCCGCAGCCAGACAAGCATATCCTACCACGCGTTACAAGAGTACACAAGACACGCTATACTGCCGTGTGATATATCATTATCATACATGTCATGTACATGTAGTGTATTATTGCTTGTAGTCTGTCTGGTTCTGTAGATATCGCCTTGCAATTAACTTCTCTTGCTATATTACCTGGACCGGAGCGCGTGAGTAATGAGTATAGGGGCACTTGTGTGACCTTATTTGGATGTTAAACGTTTCTTTTGAATACCGAATAGTAGTAGTAACTGAAATCGTTTTATATCCTTGCTTCACAGGCCTTTCTCATGATAACCAAATACTGTGCTACGATTACACGTGTAACATTAGGGAAATTTTTTATTATATCTTCTGTAATATTTGAACAAGGTTTCAAATCAAATTGAATTGACTATAAAAATGATGAGTTAGCTGTATGGCTTATGCTAATTACTTAATTAAGTCCAAAGTGTAGCACGTTGTTGGTAATTTATTTTCTTCTTCTTCTTATATAATGGTCACCCGTTTCTGGCCTAGCAATTTCTTGTAACTTCTGTAGAGGTCACATATGGCTCAATACCTCAGATTTAACTTTAACCGTGTGACTTATTAGTGTTTAAAGAGCTTTTGCTTTTATTCCAGAACTTTTTCTGAAAGATCACCTCTGACTACTGTGGTTACTAATTGGCATTTAAAATTATAAAATAGGTGTTAATTTTGTCGATTTATTGACGCGTTTGATAACTACTAAAACCAAGCTGCGGGATGGCTGATTCTCTATCTCTCACGAAATTGACGTTTGCTTTACATCATTATAGGGTAGCTTACCAGAATTCCCCCTTGATTCACTTCCAACACGTCTAAACGGAAGTAATAATTCCTATATTTTACCGGCAATTGTACTGGTCATGTCCACCACTAACTATCCCCCATACTAAAAATCTTATACATTTTTATTGTAGTTTATATCTTATTTTTTTTTTTTAAAACCCTTTATATCTTACACCTTTATATCTTATAACATCTCCAAAACTTGTAGTATCCTATAATTTCTTTATATCTTATAATCTTTCCCAAACTTGTAGTATCCTATAACTTCTTTATATCTTATAACATCTCCCAAACTTGTAGTATGCGATGTTTGTTCCTCTGGTCCATGCTACTTACTACAGTCCGGTCAGCGTGTAAACTAGACAGATGGGGTCTCCCTGTCCCAGAACAGGATCCCCGGAATGTGTTCACTGTTCCAGCTATAATTCCTCTCCATATCCACTCTGAGGACAACTTCTATTCTCCTGGAGTCCAACTAGCTGAGTAGTGTTTCTCAGTTATTTGCAGACAAGTGAACCATTTTAATTACAGTCCTCCATTGTCCTAACCACAATGACTGGTAATATTTCTCAGATCTAGCTATAACCTCAGATCATGATCCCCAACTCCTCTACAGGCAGTGTTGTACACAGTGTCGTACATTAACCACCATGTACTGAACACCACCTCCTTCTGCCTTAACACCACAATAGTGGATAACCACCTGCTAGAGAGACGTCCTGTCACACTGGGAATGAAACAAGTGGGGAAACTCAGAGTGTGGGAGGAGCTGCATACACCTGAGTACCTGCTTGCAACACCAAGTAAGTGTGGACACTACAAGGGTTTTCCTTCCAGTATTAGAGTTTTGTTTGTGTCAGGAGGAATACTGTGATTTAGTAGTTTCAATTTTTGTTAGCTGTTATATATTTTGGTCTTTTAATTTAACAGTCTAGACTGTAGTACTTAAATTCAATAACCTGGTTTATATAGTCTTCCTGCAGAATGTAAAAATAATTGATATCTAGACTCTAGTCTTAAGAAACCTGGGAAACCATTAGCCCTGAGAGACAGTTAATTATCATTTGAAATTGTCAGCAGTCTGATTAATTTTATTGTTGAAGTCTCCATAACATCGTATTACCATATATGGCAATAACCCAATGACTGGCACAATCCCAACAGTCTGCTGCAAAAAATTGCAACTGAGACTGACCAGCTCCATTTACTCTCAGATAAGTCGCCTGTAGTGGGGTTTCTAGGAGCAGCTAAGTCAGATAACACTATAGCTATCGCCAACCTGTGCAACGTTTTAAAGATTCCTCAGGTACTGATTTCTGAGTATGTGACTGTATTTATCTAGTCTTATATAACACAACCTTTATTAACGGGGTATAAATAAATTGGTAAATGTGCAATAATATGACCTCAGTTGAAGAACTTTAACAATTTTAGCTGTAAGTTAAAAGCTGTTGTTCCACGAATCTGTTCGGCTAACTTATTCCAGAGAAAATCACACATTTTAATTGAAAATATAATTTAACTTAGATTGGCCCAGAGCTGGATATTCCATTGTAGGACAATCCAAAATTACCGATAACTCATTCCTAACAGATATCGTACGCGTCCACTTCTCTGGATCTGGACGACTCAGAAGCCTACCCTTACTTCCTGAGAACAGTTCCATCTGACCAGCTACAAGCTGAAGCAATCGTGGAAATCATCAGACAAAGGTAACTGTTTTCTTAAATTCACTGAGTTAATTTTAGGGATGTGTCTTTTTTGAGATGTACAGAGGTGTTTCATTTTAGCCTTCGAAGACATGAATTCTGTTATTTGTTTATAAATGACTACAAAAAAAAAGATAAAAAAAAAAAGGGGGGGGGGGGAAACTCTTTAACTCACTATGACAGTTCGAATGAGTTCCATTTGGTATAATAGACTGATTCAAACTACGAGAGCCGGTATCAGCCACCTCACCCACGCCTCCATGATCACCACCAAACAAAAGGAGTTCTGTATCGCATTCCAATACAAGCTGCAGCAAGACTGGGCCGCAGACATAGCCGACAAGGTAATGGATTTTTAGTTTTAACAAACGAAATATGTTTATTATTTATAATTGGTTTTGTAGATTGCCCCTTATTTGGGGGGAAAAATTCCCCCCCTTCCTAGTTTACTATGATCTTCGTTGACATTATTAATGTAAAATATCCATTAAATTTCATAAAAACTTCAGGTTTTGGGGCAAATAAACGAAACGGAGCTATCAGTCATCGTGCTATTTTCCGATATAGAACGAACTAAAGAATTCTTCGGAGCATTAAAAGACCAGCTAGCTAAGCTAGAAGTTACCGAGCGAGACAGACTAAGAGAGAAAGTACTGAAAGTCACGTACATAGGATCAGACTCTTGGTCTTCCGATCAGGAAACCTTCACTTTGTATCACAGGGATGTGTTCAGGAGGTTCATAGGTGTGGGCGTCTACACAAAGGATATTAAAGGGTTCAAAGAACACTTACAGACCTTAAACTCAACTAATTATAACACTATGTACGATAATATGAAGGAGAATTTTTTTCTGAAGTGGTACGAAGAATACCGTGAAAGCACTGGTAAGGATTGGCAGGATACGATAGGAGACTCAAAACTAGACGATCATTCGTCCACTACAGCAGATGCAGTCCACGCGTTTGGTCAGGGACTGCTCGAGTACATCAATGCAAGCAAGATCAACAGCTCGTTTGACACTGTTACTTCTGATCTGTTTGATGTACTAAAAGAGTTGAGCTTTCACGATCTCACCGGAAATAAAGAGTCGTTAGTAGCAATAATCAGTATGTAGACGATATTAATATCGGGAATATGTAAACGGACAGTTTTATCCACGTTGGAAACTACACTGGCAAAAACACATGTACATCAAACACATATCCAGAACTACCCTCCATTTCTCACACCAGTCCGGGTGGTCAAGGCGCAAATCAACCTCACCCTGCTGTCACGAATGTGTGGACTGCGCTGCACACGAGCACAGCAACGGTACCACTACCATGTGCTACGATTGCGCGGACACGTACACCCATAACGAGGATCACACTGGTTGTGTAGCCGTCACACCCGACTTCATCTCCTTCACCTCCTCGTTTGCTGTTATCCTCTACATCCTGATTGCTGGGGGGCTGGTGGCCGTGGCGGGGATTGTGGTTATCTTTGTGGTGAAGTTCCAGACGCCCGTCGTTCAGGGACACGGAGTGTTCATCTACATTACCCTTCTGTCACCGTGTTGGGGGGGGGGGGGGGGGGGGGGGGGGGGGGGGGGGGACTCTTGCACGCCCTCTACTCTTCTCTTCGTGGGCGAGCCATCTCATCTAATCTGCAACCTCCGACTAGCGGTTCCTGTGTTGGGTGTCCTGTTTGTTTCTCTGTGTCTCCTGTCTCACTAAAACTGTTATCATCAAACTAAGGGCGTTGCAGATTACTAAATTCTATATCATCCAACTGTTGATTCTAGTGGTAGCGCTACTGACTCAGGTGTTTATTATGGGACTTGTCTTGTTCTTCAAACCAATGAAATACCAAAAGAAGGAGATCTTACGAGGAAAGGTGTTCGGGGAATGTCACTTTCAAGACGACACACCTCGCATGGACATCCTTTTGTACATTTCCTGTTTCGTCATCTTTGTGGGCTCACTCGTCCTATCATTCCTCGGCAGAAACATAAACGAGAACTACAATGAAGGAAAATTCTTAGCCTTCCAGGTGATAGCAATGCACATAGTGATCGTAGCGTTCATTCCCACAATAATGCTTCTAGAGGGACCTGTTCTGAGTGGCGCGTGGGCAGTAGCTATCGTTATTATGTGTTTCATAGTCCTGATCGTTCTCTTCACTCCAAAACTTTACATCGTTATCTACAGACCTTACAAAAATCAGTTTATTGAGGAATTAATGCCGGAGATTCCGAGAACAAACGGTGTAATCAGCGAGGAAAATTCTGTAGATTTGTGACAATCTTAAATTAGAGCTTAATATTATTGTGTTTGTTGATTGGGGCATGCATCACGATTCCGATAGAACATTTTCAAGGAGAAACATAATCATAAATATTTTATAACTTTATTAATTCTATTCATGGTAATCTATTGTATTTATGTTAACTTTTGAACTCTTCTTTTATACTTTTCATACTGTTTTCAACAAAATTCGTGTATTCAGTTGTTTGCCCAATTCCTTCAATCATCACAAAGTTCACAAGTGGAATTGTTTAACAGAGCCAAGACAATTGCTTCGTTATAAACGATGCAGGTATGGACTCAGTTCAAGCCTACGTAAGTGTGCTAGTAGTCAATAACTGCACACTGCACAGTGGTTATTGTTTGTCGTATGTGCCTGACAAATAAATGGCTCTAATATGTTTGTATGGCTACTGAATATGCATAACAATGAGCTCTAACCAAGTTACTGGACAATGAAATTAAACTAGACCGCCCGGCATAATGGATCCCACGGAGGTATTATAAATATCTACAAAGCTAACCTACCTTTCCAGTGTTCTCCGATAGTGTAACCAGCCTGTCCTTGAATAGTATCCTACTATCTATCCTGCAATCGTCTGAAATGGATCGTATTAAGAGGAAATGTAGCATGCGAGTGTAATATTATAAGAGTTAAACACGGTGATTGTAGCGAGCTATAACAGTCTATTGTAATTGTAACTATGGAGTGCGATAATGACGCAGGAAGTAATATGAGCGTTGTAACGCGAGTATTAAGGAGTCAAGTGTCCTAATTTAGGACTTAATACAGTTTTTGACCGGAAGACGGTAGCAATTGATTATTCTTGACCCGTAGCTATGGTAACTTGGTTTCGAATGAAGAAGACTACGCCTTTTGAGCCATAAATTGCCAGAAAAAGTCAAAAACGTATGTGCATCGCGCGTTGTACTTTACAAAATTATATTCGGCGCGTTACAACACACAACTAAACTGGACACGGCTGTCCCAAACGTGAAGTCAGGCCGTTGATCTCGGGTAAAGTGTGAACATTATTATATGGCGGTTTCTTCGTCTTAACTCATATGCGACAATTAACATCAATTCTACGACAATCCTTGACTTACCTAGCTTAGAGATGAAATTGTCAGCTTCAGTGATAAGTGACCTGAAAAGAAAGCTCTTATAAAAAAGAAATCGTGATATAATTCGATTTGTATCAACTTTAGTAACTTTATTAATGTAGCTTTACATAGTTTTGTGTATTGGATTTATGGTATGATATTATAAAGTACAAGTGTAACTCGGCCTTTGGCCGGGATTCCACTGTCGCAGTTAAAACGGTACACAGGTATGATCCAGCTCAGTCGAAACCAGCATTTAAATAAATTGAATTCGGAGTGCCTAAATACTTTCTTTTTTTCTTTTTTTCTATTTTTGGAAAGTGATCGTACTTATAATGCAATTATAAGGCGAATATAACAACTTGTCGAAACACTGGCTGATTAACGAGGTTCTCAGTATCAGATGACATGGCAACACCTGACTACTGACAAGGTTTCGGTCATGTTACTTCATGATAAGGTTTCTAATAACTAAAGGGCAGGTCACGTGATTAAAACACTAATCACGTGATCAAGAGGCTGATCACAAGATTCTGATCACGCGATTACCCAATCCTTGTTAGACAATTTTCCAACGTAGACTCCAGTCTAGTGTCTGAAAACCCGGCCTTGCCTAATCCAACCAGTTACAATGGTATATAATCCTCAAGGACCCATTACAAGTTATCTACATTTCCACATCTACTAGTTACATCTTCATTCAACAAATTCAACAAAATGTTTCGGTTTTCTTGAGAAAAAATCTGATAGCCAGCTCCTGGATTCCTTTCTTTGTGCCTACACACTGCGTAGACAAACTGGACAAGGAGGGTACGGAACTGTGTTTTATTATGCGAGAATAAGACAACTGTAGCACCTACCGCTGTCAAGATAGTTCACGACAGGAATACAGCCGGAAGTCGCTGGTGCCCCCGCAGACAAATGACATCCTGACGAGATCCTCCTCTGGAGAAAGCTGACCTCCCTCTATCGTGCAGCTGAGTGACCTGTTCCTGAACAAGACTTCTGGATGTCCGTGATGGAGAACGATCCTGATACCTGGCCTTGTTTAAAGTGCGATGAAATCGTGTCCTATAATTCAGCATTACACCGATTATTTATCAGACAAGTCCATTCAAGTGAGCAAATACCTTCACTCAGTCGGTGTGGATCATAGAGACATAAAGGACGAGAACATTCTATACAACCCTAGATCAGGACAACATCAACTCCATAGACTTTGGAATCACTTCAGCCATCACGACAATGTACATTGTACGCCACAATTCCCAGGTACTGAGGGGTATGTTCCTCAGAATACTACATCAGGGTGCGATCAGTACAACCTGCTGCAGTTTGTGAGTATCGGATGTCTGGCTTACACCCTCCTGAAAATGACCCTCCTTATCTGAAGAAGGATGCTATTGTTGGAGGAAGGTTGTTGAGTGGGACTTACAAGATTCCAAGCTAGAGACTTTGTTGACCAGTGTTTGAATTACAAGGTTAATCACAGGATTAACTTTTATTATCTCGCTAGACATACTTGGTTCAGAAACTAACGGATCGAATCAAAGAGTATTACTGTAATATTTCCGTTTTAAGGAAATAACGTTTTAGATTTACTGTTTCAGTTAATATATAAGCACCGTGTGCAGTGTATTATGATATGTACAACTATTTGTGTTTTTATGACAAATTTAATTTTGATTTACAGTAAATAAAAGAGTTGTCAATAAATTCTAAAAAGTCTTGAAATAAGAGATTGGGAAGTGCGACTAAATGTTTGAAATGTTTGAAAATGTCCGCCGTCCGGCTATAAACCAACATCTCAATATAAAAATCACGAGTTGATATGTTACTTTGATAAGTCTTCCCCTGATATAAGCGTTGATTAATTCTATTGATAAGCTACCCGTAAACAATTATCAGAGAATTAAGTTTAAACTTTATAATGAAATATTTATCAATACTTACTGGTCGACATCCATCTTGGCAGGGAACCTATAGACAAGTTTATAATAAGACTCTCGGATATTTGAGGTCATTTTAAAAGCAAACACAACGACTCTAGACAAAGATAAAACTGTGATAAATAAAATTGAGGGTAGAATGTTCTGAAATTATTCAAAGTTACGATATGTATTGGATTCCAAATATGGGGACACTTGGAACCACGTAAACGCGTTAAAGTGTATCAATGCACGATAATAAAATTAGTTAGGTCATACAAATTTGAGTAAAAATACCCGAGAGAATTCATTATTCAATATTAAAGAACACAGATCGTTTAGGGAAGTACAGAGTATTTAATTAAATGAAATTCAAAAGTCATCAAAATCATTAACCCATAAAAAATTCATGCAAAAACGTAGAGGTCATTTAACAAAAAAGGTGATTTCTTTATCTTACACCTGACAAATGACAAATCAAATTTTCATAATTCAAGTCAGACATTAAAATTCGATCCAAAAGCCGAGGTTAAAATTCGATATAAATCCCAATTAAATGTCTGATCTGAGCTTCAAAATCTTTAAAACGTCAGAGGTTGGCAGAACTATATTTCGCTCCTGCAAAAGATCTGTGAGATTGTCTAAACTAGTCGTCCCCTCACCCTTCCACAATCTGGCAGTCTCACACGGCAGTGTCAAAACTTCTAAATTACTGTTCAGCCTCGCAAAGTAACTCGGAGAGCAATACTCATAAAATATTCCACAAAACGCTGCCATGGGTTCCCCCCCCCCCCCCCCCAAAAAATAAATTTTTTGTTTGAACTGTTGAGCTCCCGCTATATTAAACTGTGATTTGAAGAGGATCTTGTTAGTAAAGGTCAGCTGTAAAGAGCTGGCAAGGTTACTCCAGATATTAAGGAAGTTATCAGGCGCAAGAGAGGCAGATAGACTTGCTAGAGACTGTTGTAACTCCATAAGTCCAGCTGAGCAGGAAGGAGTTATAGTATCCAGTTTATTGGGGAGCATCCAGTTTTTCTTGAAGTATCCGCTAAGCAAACTGTTCACTTTACTCGATATAGAGGATTCTAGGGAGTCCTGTAAATCTTGTTGAAGAAGTTCATAGGAATCGCTGATGTGAGAAAAGGGAGCCTTGTCACCCTCGAACTTGGATACCTTGATGTAATGCTGATCGTAGCTCCATTCCTCTAGGATCGCCAAAATGTACACCACGCTATTTACTACCAGGTAAAACTTGGGGTCTTTGTGGGTCCAACTTTTGTAACTTGTCTGATAAATGAATCATGAACTCTTTCAAGAGATCACATTGGAGGGAGTAGAATGAATTGTTGAGAGCTAGAGATGGGAACACTTTTACTCTTTCTCCTACAGCCTTCACCGATGTCAACACTCTGACGCACATGGAGGGTATTGGATACCCACTACCACTCTCCCTCTCTTCGAAACAATGTTCATCTGCCTCCACATTTGTGAGAAATTTGAAGGAGGATATTGTCTCCAATTGTAACCACCTGTTTAAAGTCTTTTCTTCTGTGAAGAGGTTCAGTATTGGAGACTTAAAATGGGAAAGAGGGATGTGGTCCTTGAGCTCTTTGTGGAATTTGATGACTTCGTCAATGTAATGAGTGAACAATCCATCATCCAGTTTAGGGATATCTTCATTGAGTTTCAGTACAGCAAACTCACAATAGTGTTCCACAAACAGAGCTGTGATAGTTGCATTATTTTCGTTCTCAAACAAAACACCGAAGTGTGTTTGGAACTTGTCCTTGAACTCGCGTATCCAGGACAGCAGTTTTGTAAAGTACCACTCAGGTTTCTTGATGTCGTTTGTCTTGACTTTTCTCATGAAGTGAAACTTAAACTGCAGCTCAAAGTGGCTGAAAATGTATTTTAAGCCCAGTTTCAGATTGGGTTTCCCATGACATAACGGTTCTGATAATTTAAACAGGAATTTCACATTCTCTAAAATACCAGGAATAGTTTCCTGGTTTATATTTTTCCAATTCACTGGACCGAATGATTTCAAAGCCATCTCAGTAAGTATCTTGTATCTTTTCCGACACTCTGCTACCATAACCCGCTTCAGATTAGCACATGCAGTGTCCTCCACAAGACTAGAATAACAATTCAACTCATCATATATCGGGAGACACTTCTTCCAGCTCTCCTTGTTTTGTCGCTTATCTAAAAAGTTTACAGCTTCGTTCAGGAACTTGACCCAGTCAAGATATTTAGCAATCTTACTGAATTGATCGACAGCAGCCAGTTTGCCGAGAAGCTCCTCGCTGGGTGTCTGGCGGACTGCATCAGTACTCTCCACCAAGTCCTCGCCTAGCCTTATGTACTTCCTTGCTTCTCTGATATCTTTGTGTAACTTTGTTTTGTGCGTTCTGTGCACTGCCGCCGTATCTGTAGCAACGACACTCAGCTTCGCTTTGGCATCTTCGTAATCGTTGTGGAAGTGTTGCAGGGAGGCTGGAACGTCGGAGATTGAGGTCAGCTGATCAAGATATAAAGCTTCCTCTTCGTTCATGATACTATCTATACACCTGTCGGGATTGTTGGTTAGTTAAGAAATACATGCCAATAATTGTATAATTACAGCTCATTTTTGGACCAACATCAGAATATGAATCAATCTTTGATGCAAGTTAGACATGGTAATACATTTATTACAATTGTTTTCAAAGTCATTTACACGTCACTGTAAATAAAACAAACAATTTGATACTGAAATGAAAATATATTTAATGAAATAAGAATTGTTAAATTGCATTGTAAAAATATAATAACACATACATTCCGGGACACATTCTGTTTTAAGGTATAACAGCTACAAGCTGTTCAATATGATTGCATGCTACCAAAGACACTAAAATCTAAACTTTCTAGAACTACTAGATTAATTAAAGGAATCTTTATCAACTGAGTCAATTTTACTCATTGATACAACAAACCGATCTCTATTGATAGTAGATACTGTTGTTGTGATATCATAAAATCTTGAATATCTAAAGCAAAATCTTAGTTGTATAGCTATGTGCCCATCACAGATTTAAGTTCAAGATTCAAATTATACAGAACAATTAAATAAAAAACAAATACGAAATATGAAAATAAATGTACATAATATTTTCTGAGCTACGTTAATTCTAAAAGTAACCAAAAATCAGAAAAAGAGCTTAGCAGTTGAAATGAAATTTCATTCTCCATGAAGTTGTTCTTAAAAAGGAAGAAAACAAATAAAGCAAGAACTGCCAGATTACTGAAACCCTCAAGAGCTTAAACCCCAAAAAGCTCGTATCCTGGCCCTGATTATTGTGGTCCTAAATTCTCAATTACTGGCGGCACTCTCTTCTTGACTTCTATTGAGAATTTCCATAAACTCATATCTTATGGTCTGGGTAAGTTGCTCCTGAAATGAAACATCGTGATCAAGCAATTGGGGTAACATGAGCTAGATAGCTCACGTATCCTACATTTTGTTTGTTTATAAAACCACAATTGACAATCGATAAGGTCATAAAAACAACAAATATAGGCTCTGAGGAGAATCTGCCATACTACGTTTATTCAAGTAAATGTTGAATGAGATTTTAGAAAACTTACAAGTTGCTCAGCCTTTTGCTCCCAAGTTTCTACAATAATTTCAGGTTCAAAAATGGGTGCATCCTCTTCATCATCTTCAACTTCTAGAACCTGCAGCAGTGTGATTATAGAGACTTAATAAACGTAATTGCAGTGATAAACCTTTTTCATGTTTGTGGGCTTTGTAAAATGACAAGAACTGCCACAGTACCTTGCTCGACAGAAAACTGTGAAAGTAAACACAGGACACTACACAGGCTACAGCTTTACATTACCTTAGTCGGTAATATTATGGGGGGTCTAAATTGGTCCTTTTCGGGCCAAAGAACCATATTTATAACAGTCCATATTTGTACCCCCCATAATTTAAATTTTGGTATATCAGTCATATTATGCTTAACGTTTCTTTCATGCACGTCCAGAAGTATGCTTACGTTATTGTTTGCTGAATTGAAGCTAGTTCTGGTTCAAAAAGTCTACTATTCCCCCATCCTTTCAATTAGAGGGGTTAACTAGGAACAATTTCAATTTAAATTTCAGATCAGCAACTTCAGATGAATAATAAAAGTTCAGCACCAGCTGTTTCATTGCAGTGTACAATTCGTAAGCTGTACGGGCTAAAACATATACTTATAGGGGAGCTTGTGAATATTTACACGATGCAACTGACCACTGAATTTTAATCACTAGATTTCGATAGCAGTCAGCCCCACATTCTAAAATAACGCTCCATGTGTAACAGAATAAATATACTTTAACACCTGATAGGGATTGGATATCTAATGAAAAAATATTAAATTTGGTGCGAAAGCGGCAATGTGGTTATAATTGCGAAAAAATTTGATCAATATTTTCGATTTTCGATTTTTCATGAAAGGAAAGTCGCAGTTAAAAGTGTGGGGGTCAAATTTGGTTCTTTTCGGGCCAAAGAACCATATTTATAACAGTCCATATTTTTAACACCGATAATTTCCCCCCCCCCCCCCCATCCCCCCATAATATTACCGACTAAGGTATACATATTATGCACCTCATGAATATCTCATTGTTATGTTTACTTAGACAGAAAACATGTTATCAAAAACTGAACTTGCTCTTATTAGGATATAATTTTAGGCCACACAAGTGTTACCTTTATTTGATATTGATAATTCAAATTTCCCATTTTCTATTAAATGACAAAGTCATTCAAAATGCCCTTAGTAGAGCTCTACAGAGTTTACAAGCAAGCACACTGACTATTGAGCTAATGTTTTACTTACAGTAAGTTTAATATCCTCTATCTTCTGCCTATCAAGTAACATTTTTGTTTTCAACAGAAGGTCCAAAATCTCCTCATCTTTCTTTTTAAGAGTTGTTACGGTCCTCTTTATTGTTTCTACATCCTTTTCAATCAAATCAGCTGTCTTTTGACTTGACATCAATACCTTTCTGAGACAATCGTTATATTACAATTATGTTACATGAAATTTTCTTTGTATAGTATACACTATGTACAGTAAACAGGGTGTCACAGAAAAGGTAACCAAGTGGTCAGTGTTAAATTCATCAAGAACGTTTTGAAAATGTCATTTATCATTTACAGGGGTTATAGGGTAAAACCTCTAGAGTCTGTGACCAATATTCAGATCTCTAGTTCATTCGAGTGGGGCGTGGCAGGCGTCCTGTGTCAGCATAGTTCCACAGGCTCATGTTTGCTGGAGTATTTGCAACGTCATGGGTTGCATTGAGGTGGAACTTAAGTAGAGCAGGGCTCATCTTGTAGTTGTAAATAAGGTTGTTCCAACCTAATTCTAGCTGCATGGTGTTTTCCCATGTTAAGAATTGTCCTTGGACTCCCTTGTCTACCAGTGTCAACAGGATATCCTGCTCTGAGATGTGAGCTACCAGTTCTTTCAGTTTTTCCTTTTCACTGGCTACACTCCTCTTGGATCCCAAGCCCATCCTGCCTTGCACTGTTACTCCTACTAACTCTCTGAAGTAAAGATCTCTTTCTCTAGCACTCAGCTCATTGGTGTAACCCCACTGACTGCTCCCTTCTTGGCTCTTGGCCCTGTGCTCATAGACCTCCTTAACTTTAGGATCCTTGCTGCTCTTTAGAAAGTTACCTTTAGACACCTGAAGGAACTTGTATAAGTCCAACAGTCGTTTAAGGTTTAATCCAAAGCAATCCTTATTTCTATAAAGCACACTGACAGTAATTGTCTTTGTTACACCTAGCCATTTCTTCAGATACTTCGTACATATTGCTTCAAGATCTTTGACGAAACTAACCGGGAGATTGTAGATCATCAGGTCCCAGGAGAGCTTGCTGGTTAGGAGGTTGTTGTAAATCCAGGTTGAAGGCCCCCAACCGGGGTCGGCGGGGGCCTTCATTACCCCACTGATTGACTTGTTCTTGCTCCCAAAGTGAACATAATGTGATGCTGAGCTTGGTATAACCTAGTTATTAGTTTGAAACCTCACATGAGTCATGAGCAATTTAATGTGCATGTGCTAATTGGGTACTTGATAACAGAGCTGCTGACTCAAATCGTTAGCAAACAGTTGAGAACCGAGAACCTAATCGGTCGATCCCATGAGCTGACTAGATCCTGTCGCTGTTGACAATGTGGATCACATGATTCTCACGCAGCTCTTGAATGAGCCAGAGCCTTAAAATTTTCAGCAGTGCATTACATTTTAACAGTGAAATGTACTGTTGCAGCTCAATAAGCTCAGCTCTTTAATTCATCGAATTAGTGTCGATCTGGCAAGAAATGAGTGGGCCGAATGAACAGGTTCCTGATGTAGTTTTGTCCTAAAATTTGTTAAACACAAAATAGAGATTTAAAGTTTTTAAAAGGAGGCAGGAAATAAGAATGGTTTGGATTAAGAGAGGCAACTCAAATACACTTTATAATATTGGACGATATTAGAGTGCAGATAGATTCAACAATAAAATGTTCCACTTATCTTTTAGCAACTTTAAGAGACAAAACATGTATCTAAAATTAAGTGCAGTTGTTGGATAGTGCCTCATTTAAGTAAAAAGACACATATACTCTGCCCACAATATAATAATAAGGAACCATGATTGTTTCAATTATGTAACTGTATAGAATTACTATTATTATTAAGTGAAAATGATTTTAAAAAACCCCCCAAGGTGAACCAGTTAATAATAATAAGCCATTCGGTCAAATTTTCATGGTACTATTGTGTAATTTATTGTAATAATGTGGTAAAAATAGTTTAAGTTTGCCGTAAAATTAAGTGTAATGGACAACTTCAAAGTAATAGATAAAAGGAAATCCAGAAAAACTGCAAAATAACTTTTAAAATGTAAACTATTGAACTTGAGAAATTTTTAAAATAAAGCTCGATTATATTATTTTATAAGTATACCGCGATGCACTTCTGGGCCGCGCCGCACATCAAATAATGCCAATTTTCTTTTAGGTAATCTTATTTAATTAAAATTATTTTTATCGTATTTACAATTTTCCAAATAATTTACTATAGCCATAGGTCTTATATCGTGTAATATTTTACGGACAAAATGATTTCAAGGGCCGCGCCGGACTCCCATACCCACCGCTTATATGTTATAAGCTTTGGCAATTTAATTAATTAGTTCATGTTAACGGGTGATACTCGTAAACTATCTGTTCCATATATTGGACCGTCGACGAGTCCAACTCGACGCGCGTCCTGGTAGGTTGTAAACCTACAAAGTTCATGCCATGCACCTTTACAAACGCGCAAGCTGGAAAAACCATTTTGCCTTCTTGTTGTTATGTGTCTTAGCTACATGGGTTGAGGGTCCCGGGTCCCCCTTTTCTTTTTTTTTCTTTCTGATATCATGTCAAACTGTGTTTTTTGTTTTCTGTTTCTGTAATGCTTTAAATTTACTTTTAGGCTTTATAGGCTATCTTTCTCGTCGAATTAAATGAATTAGATTTTATAAACAATCTCAGATTTGCTAATTAATGTCCAGGTTTCTATTTCTCATTTCTGCCGCTATTTTTCAATTTTCAATTAGTAAAACAAAATTTTTATTTACCACAAAACAATCAATACATATTTAATATTATTATACATTTACAAATAAATCTAAATTTAAATTCAGCTATATTCACGATACACAGCCCGCCGCGCAGACAGCCACACATTGCTGAGAGATTCTCAGGTGCAGATGTAAGCGTCGCGAGCACGAGGTTTGTTATCTTACAATTACATGTCACGATATATTATTAATTATCAGAGAATTTTAGAAGCAAAATAATAATTGCATATTGGGAAAATTTTGGTCGTTAACGCAGTACAGGGCGTGGACACTGCAATGCTAATAACGGAAAATTTTGAGGCACGAGTTTCATTCAGCTACCCAATTTATATGTGACATGTACTTGTATTAAATTCAGATAAATGTCAGTATAACAATCGACGTCAACATTGTGCAACTGTAAACTGCAAAATGTTAACGTCGATTATCACTAAATCACATCTCGCAAGTTACTAATTCTTTGCACTATATATGTTACGTCACTATAGCATATGTCATTCATATTGTACGTTATATAAGATAAAAATAAACATTTTATAATTGTTTCAATGTTCAACACTGCTAAAAAACAAATACCTACTTGCCCATCGATTAAGCAGTCGCCAAAACAAGGCTCAAAGTTAATTTACCTTCACACCTCGTTTTGGAGACTGAAGGATGTCAATAAATAAATAATGGATAACATTAATACTGAATATGATGGATAATCAGTAATATCAATAAAATCCACAATCACTAATCATGTTTTCGATGGGCAAGCACTCGCAACTGGATGCTGAAACGAACGGCGCAAGTCTTGCACCGTTCATGCAGCATACGTCGCGAGATATCATGAGCTCCGCTAACTCTGCGATTCTAACGGATGAATTAGGCTACCCCGACAGAAACACAGGTAACAGGGGGTTGTGGAAGGACACGAACACTGTTCGTTAACTCGTACCCCGGGTACCCCATATATGGACACGTTCATTTGAGTTTGAGGATATTGGTAAACAAAAATAATAGCGTTTTTGACGATAGTGGCTTAATTTTGACATCTATTAACCTAGCACGTTCAGAAGTTCTGAACATTAGCCGCGTAACCCATACTCCCATATGCACTGCTCAGAAAGAAAATCTATTGTTGTTAGGCACTATAATGGTTCAAATGTCACATTTTGTGTGACTTATTTAACTGCAGTTGTCTAATTATCATTCCTTGGTCTGAAACATAGTAGATTAGGTCAATCTAACAATTATGATACAACATTGGTTAAAGGGCACGGATCGAACGGTTACAAGGCAATATTTAGGTAACTTTGTCACACTCAGAATACCATACCTCTATTCTACTGTGAGGTGTCCTCAAAACCCTTTTTACTCATTATTTGATGGTTGATCTACCAAGTACGGAGTACCAATCATAGCCCTAAAATATGTTGCTTTGAATAGTAAGCTAATACAGGCACAATGAGGTTAATTCTGTCACAATATATGGAATTTAAAATTTTGGGCGAATTATTTATATCTGATTTTGGTTTGAAAGGCGGGAAAACTTTACATGATGACAATGTAGTTGATGCAAGTTAAGATCAGTTGATGTTTACATTGTCACAAAAAATTATACGAAATCGTAACAATGATTATATAATGAAATAGTCTCTTATAATAAGTAATAACTCTTATAATAACTGATGTGACAAAGTAAACATGTCTTGCCCCTATTTTGAAGATCTATATATTCTATAACTCTATTAGAATTTAACATTCTTTCAGAAAAAATTGGTAGAATATTGTCCAGAACATCAGAGCTCAAGTTTAACAATTTTAGGTTAAATTTGTCAAAGTCACTAAAAATGTGACAAAATTAACTTTTCCTGCCCCAACAATTTCAAGATAGTGTGTAAAAATTAGCATAGGCTGCCTTATCACCTGCTTATTACCTAAATAAATCAATCCAAACTACAAAAAAATATATGTTAATGTGATGACGATTACCTAACTGTAATAATAACTGATGTGACAAAGTAAACATGTCTTGCCCCTATTTTGAAGATCTATATAGTTTTAAACTAATTACAACACTACAAATCTATTACATTTATTGAGTAATACGAATGTAATACGAATGTAACGTTAATGGAAAGGAACAAATCTCACATGTGAACTCTTCAATTTGCTTCAATTCAAATCAACAACTTAATTCAAATCATCAACTCAATATCATGGACGATTCAATGGAAACATTTTTTGGAAAACTATTGTCGGAATGTGATCAAAAATGCAAAAACTGTACTGCATTCAAATCTCATGTCAAGTTTCTCGAGCGGAAAGTGATCATCCTAGAAGACATTGTTCAAACTTCTCAGACTATAGCAGAGATTAATGGTACGTTGTTACATCAAAGTACCAATCAGTCAATAGATTATCGGGCTGTCCTGGATAGGTGTTCAGATGTTGCAGTTCAGACAGAATTTGAAAACGATCAGATTGAATATGACAGTGAATGCGAGGTGCCTGAATCTTTCATGCTAATCAATAGTGATGGCATCATTGAAGCACCAGATTCTATCATTTCCAACAACACAGAAAATCAAATCAGTGGGAGTACAGGATCTGTCAATCCATGGAGTGGCAAGTATTATGCTGAAATAGATGTAACACCCATATCTAGTGTGGCCTTAAGTGTAAATGATGAAAGCCCTGACATTATCATACCACCTGTTGAACTCATTGATCAGGCACCGTTTCAAAAATTCTCCTTAGACATCTTCCTGAGAGAATTGGATTTTAGCCACCAGTTTCAAAATAGGAAAACAGCTTACTTTGGGGACTTCCCATATGTGTATAATGGGGGAAGTCACGAGGCGAAGGAGATACCACATCAGTCCTATCTGGCTGCTATCTGTTCATATCTTGATGTGTTACTCCCGGATTATGTTTACAACAGTGCTCTCGTAAACTACTACAGCTGTACTGGGACAGAATGCATGCCTATCCATAGTGATAATGAAGAATGCATCGATGAAAACTCTTATATTGTTACAGTTTCTCTGGGTGCCTCTAGGACGATGCAGTTCACAGAAATTCAAACAGGAAAAGTGGTGTCTGCCCTAGATCTAAAGCATGGGGATGTTTGTATCATGTCTAAAAAATCCCAGCTTCATTACAGACATGAAATCTGTACTCAACCATCTTGTACAAACAAAAGGATCAGTATCACATTCAGACTGATCAAACCTGTAGCTGTTGTCCAAAGATTAACAAGTACACCAACCAACATGTGCAATGACAATTACCATGACCCATATGAAAACATCTCCAACTCCAGCGGCTATGTACCTTATCAAGAAGACGAGTTTATAGTTCATCCATCAAGGAAAACGAATGGTGCTTATCAGCACCGACCTCTAACCCCACCCTATACATCTCCACCACCCCATCTGCATCAATCAGGGCGGCATGTTAACAGACAACAATTGTTCGAAAAGGAGACACCCAACGATGTGAGCACAGTTTATATCAGCTACATACATGTTACATGGCGAGATCTCCATCCAAAAGGATTAGTCTGCGTCATCTGCGTCATTACTTTGTATTATACAACTTCGGCGGGTAATATTTCTCCATCCTTTTCGATCTGCAGCCAATCTTCTCATACAATCAATCGTGAGTCCATTACGATCCAATCTCTGCTCAGCATCTTCAATAAATACATCATTTAAGCTCTTCCTAGGCCTGCCTCTTGATCGTTTCCCATGCTTGGGTTTCCATTCAAGTAGATAGTTAGGTAACCGATCTTCAGGCATTCTACTGACATGTCCAAACCAACGTAGCCGTTTTGTTGCTATTATGTCAGTAAGAGCAGTTATTGAAGCCCTTCTTAAAACATCTTCATTTCTTACTCGATGGAACCACCTCACTCTCAGGATTCTGCGTAAGCAGTACTGATGGAAAGACTCTAATCTTCTTGTCTGCACTTGAGTCGTGTTCCATATCTCACTTCCATAGGTCAGAATGGTAAGAACAGCTGCGATGTAGATTCGCACTTTGTTGTTAATGCTTATGTTCTTATTCTTCCAAATGTTATTGAGTTGGTTAAAAGCTCCGGTTGCTTTTCCAATCCTGACACTTATTTCTTTATCGATCTTGCCATCCGATGTAATTTTGGCACCCAAATAAGTGAATTGAGTGACCTGCTTTGCAGAGTTTCCATCGACAGTAATATCTATGGTCCTATTCTCTGGGAGTGGGTGCTGCGACGTATCTTTCCCAATTACCATGATCTCTGTTTTCTTTGCGTTCATCTTTAAACCCCCAAGCCCACAGTATTTCGCAATATTGTCCGTTGTTTCTTGCAGTCCCTCGACAGTGTCATCCATGCCTGCTATGTCATCAGCATAGTCCAAATCAATGACACATTTTTCCGGTTGTCTGGAACTTTGTCTGTACTGAAGAGTAAAACCACGCGATATATTTTTAAACTTCTCGGCAAGTTCTAATCCCCAGTTAAGTACAAGGTTGAAAATGGGGGGCCCTTGCACATCACCTTGTCCAGTCCCCGAATCGACATCAAACCATCTTGTCAATTCCCCATTGACACGAACTGCACTTTCAGTTGCTCTAAAGAACGCTTTGAAAACATTGATGTATTTTGTTGGAAGACCATAATGTTCAAAAGCTTTCCAAATAAAGTCACGATTGATTGAATCAAAAGCAGCTTTAAAATCAATAAAGTTTATATACAAAGGGACGTTGAATTCTATACAATTGTGTATTATACAATTAAGGGAGTATAGCTGATCTATACAAGAACGGTTTCTCCTGAAACCACACTGATTTTCTCTAAGTAACTTTTCAAGCCCATTACTTAGTCTTTTTAACAACACGATTTGAAATAACTTCGATACTGTGGAGCGTAGAGTTATCCCTCTGTTGTTGTTGCAATATGTGAGGTCCCCTTTCTTTGGGATGATGGTGATGATTCCTTTCCTCCAATCACTAGGAATATCCTCACTTTTCCATACAGTTTCAAACAAATCTTTTAACCAAGGCAGAAGTCCAGGAGAACCGTACTTTAACTGCTCATTTGAAATTTCATCAATTCCAGCACTTTTGTAGTTCTTCAACTTCTTGATAGCTTCCTCAATTTCAAACAAGGACGGTGGCTCATCATCATTACTAAGATATTCAAAAGAAAGTACCTTTTCGTCCTCATCCAATAGAGAGAAATCCACCGCATCTGCTGCTGGCGTTAAGAGTTCTTCAAAATATTCGGCCCAGCGATGTGACTGAGCTTCGGGATCTGATATAAGTGTCCCATTCTTATCCCGCACTGCCGCAGATCTGTTTACTCTCTTGTTTGTAAGGGATTTTATTTTCTGCCAAACATCTCTTTGTTGACCCTGCTTGGCAGCCTCTTCCAATTCCTCAGCTACTCTAACAGCCCAGGCATTATCATCTCTTTTACAGTTCTGCCTAACAAGACCGTTAATCTGCGAGTACTTAGCACGATTCTCAGCAGTACTAGGTTTCTTTTTAATCTCACCTCGTTCTTTTAGGAGATTCTTAGTATCCTTTGAGAGATGTTCTGTTCTCTTTTTCCGGCCCCTTTCACCCAGAACTTCAAACGAGATATCAGTTATAATGTCTCTCAATTTCTTCCATTGTTCTTCTATCATATCAGCAGCAGCATGTTTAGGCATCTGAATGAAAAACTGTTGAGCTCTTCATCTCAGAAGGCCAAAGTATTCTTCTACCCAGGGGCCAACTCAATCCAAATGTCCCAAAGACTCTTTAGCGACAGTCAGTTCAAAGTTCTCAACAAAGAAAAGGTTAAAAAGGTTGTTTTACTAACTGGTACTAACTGTGTTGATCCAATTGACCTCAACACAATGAACTTCAACAGTGCCACCAATGACATGGAAGAATTTGTTCAAAAATTGTGGGCAGAATTTAATAGTGCAAAAATATATATCTTAAATATTCTGCCTAGAGCTGTCACTAGTAAGAACATCATAGTGCAGGGACTTAATCGATACTTAGAGAATATGTGTTATAAGCATGGGCTAATATACATTAACACAGAACATGAAAATAATCTCTTTACTTTAAATTATAATAGAAAGGACAAGTATTTTGGCAGGGGCCATGACAATGTGCACCTTAATAAGTTAGGAATTGCCAGGCTTGGTAAGCATCTCAAATATGTAACTCACTTGTGTTAAACTTCATTAAAATTCTATAATCCAAGGGTATCAACATGAATAATAACAGGATTACTGTTTTATCTGGTTTAAAATGTTAGATCAGCACAAATTTCTAATAACTTAACGTTTTTATATCTCTCAAGCTATATTTATCACAAACAGAAGTGAGTTACTATTTTATGCTGTTAAACTTTATGATTTAAACTGCAGTATGATTGCTGATCCGAAATCCAATTTAAATCATATGTATGACATGATTTGAAACTTAGTCTACTTGAGGAGACTGCATGTGGATTTGTTCCCCATTAGCTTTGGTTTAACCTTATTCGTACCTCAATAAACGATAATCTCTCTCTTGGTCTATGTAATATACAGGGTGGCCTGACTAATCTGGCAAAAACTTTCGAACTACAGGAGCTAATATTTCGCGAAAAGCTTGACATAATTGGAATTAATGAGACAAACCTTAAATCTGATATAGACACTAGTACACTTAACTTCCCCTTAAACTTTGATTTTATAAGGTGTGATAGACCTAACGATAGAGGAAGAGGAGGGTGTGGTATATTGATCAACCAAAATGTTAACCACAAATTACTCAATTTAGATATAACCTACTCTGATATTTCTAAAATCGAAGCTATATGGATACAACTCAAGGACGCCAATCTTTACATTTGCTGCTTCTACAGATCACAAAACTTTTGTCATCTAGATACTTTCCTTGATTATATGACTGAATGTATGATGAAACTTCAAGGTAAGAAAGTAATATGGATTGGCGATGTTAATGTTAACCAAAACTCTTTATCTGATCTAGACTATAAAAAGTTAGATATAACAATGAAGCTCTTTGGAATGATACAGACTGTTACAGGAGTAACAGTCTGTATTGCAAACTTAGATGGTAGAATAACGCAGAGCACAATAGATGTTGTAATGACTAACTGTTACTCTAATTTCATAGAGTGTAAAGTACTTGATGATAGAATAGGAGATCACCAAGCTCTTAAATGTGTTCTCGACTTTAAAGTAAATAAAGCTAGTAAGTTCCAGAAGGTCCTTATCAGAGACCACTCCTTAAACAATCTAAAAGCCTTAAGCTATTTTCTGGGATCCTGCAGTAACTACAGTAATATTCTAAGCTGTACTAATGTAGACCATGCGCTAGATGGACTTAATCATCACATCCAGGAATCGTATGATAATTACTGTCCACCTAAACAGATTAAATGTAATAGTAACTTTCTTTGTAATCCCTCTAAAGTACTGTTGGCAGAAATACGGAAGAAGAAGATGCTTTTCAGAAAGTATAAAAAGTGTTTAGGACAATTAAACAAATTCAAGTGTAAGTGTATTAATGGAATATGTAACTGCAGAAAAAGTGAACTACATAAGAAATGCTCTACTTCGTGGGATAACTATCGTCCCCAAAGAAACTATGTGACAAAATTATCCAAAGAAAACAGACGTACAAATATTGTTCAGGACCTTACTGTGAAAAGTGCAAAAAACGATTTGAAAGGTATTTGGAAAACTATCAAACATGCTTCAAACTTACCTGGAAAAATAAGTAGCTCTTCCCCAAGCAACTTAAATGTTAACGGAGTTAACCTGCATTTTGCCACAGTTGGTACAATATTACAAGAATCAATTAAGGAAAAGGATTCAGACGACTTTCTAGAATATATGCCGCCTCCACCAGAGTGTAAACTCTCTGTATTCGAAGAGGTGACTGTTGAACAAGTAAAAGAATATATACTCAGTATACCATCAGATAAATCTATCAACGATATCATGCCTATTAAAGTATATAAGTATATTATTCCCCAAATCATCGATCCAGTAGCTCATATTATAAACCTTAGTATGAAAAGTGGAACAATGCCGTTGGCATGTAAAATTGCATCAGTCACTCCAATTCTTAAAACTGGTGACCCTAATGATCCAAATAACTACCGGCCAATATCCATACTCCCCCTACTTGGAAAATGCATAGAATATTTTGTTAACCAACAGCTCACAGAGTATGTTGAAACAAATAAACTACTTACCAACAATCAGTATGGATTTAGAAAAGATCATTCCACCACTTTTCTAATGCTTAATCTATTTGATAAAATATTTACGTCTAAGGAATCACAGAAGAAACCTGCAATTGTATTCTTAGATATTAAAAAGGCCTTTGACACAGTAAGCCATAATATTTTATTGAAAAAACTTAAGTATTATGGAGTTGATGGCTTTGTCATAAAGTGGTTCAAAAGCTACCTTGGGGACAGAAAGCAGCACACCAAAATACGTGGTAATGTAAGCACATCACTCCCTGTTAAAACAGGTGTGCCACAGGGTAGCATATTAGGACCAATTCTATTTAGTTTATTCATAAATGATCTCAGTAGAAATTGCACACAATCTACTGTTTACTTATTTGCAGATGACAGTGCACTATATTTTGATAACATTTCCCGAAGCATATATGAAAATGTAATTAAGGATATGAAAATTGTGTATGAATGGCTTAGAATCAACAAGCTGAGACTAAATGCTGCAAAATCTTCATTCATTGTATTTGATAGATATCCTAATCTGGACACGTTGTCAATCCCTCTGGATTTGGAAAAAGAATGCCTTTTTATAGAAGAAACTAAATCTCAAAAATATTTAGGTCTCATGATAGACAATTTATTGAACTTTCAAGACCATATTGATTATGTGAAATCAAAAATTGCTAAAAGAATAGGGGCATTATACAGGTCGAAAAATCTTCTTCCACTGAAATATAGAAAAATGTTTGTAAATGCTCTTATGCTCCCCCAATTTGACTACCTGGATATAATATGGTGTAGGGCTGCCAAAACCAGACTTAATTCTCTTGATATATTATACAAGAAAGTAGCAAAAATTGCACTGGATGTTCATTGGCAGGAACCATCAGTAAATGTATATCGAAATATGAAGTGTTTACCCTTACACTTAAGACGACAACTCCGTCTTAACGTATATATCAACGTATATGTATAAAATTCTTAATGAGGCTGCACCATCATCATTCACCGGTAAATTTTCTTATGTATCCGGAGGATCACGTGATGCTGAGAGGTGCAACCTTTATATTCACAAATCCAGAACACACAAAACCTTTACATATTTAGGTGCAAAATGTTGGAATACAATTCCAGAGAACATAAGGACTATAGAATGTAGTGTAAATTTCTCACAATGTATGAAATCTAAATTTATGTCAGATGTAATTCAAGGAGTCTCATCCTATGAAATAAACAATAGTTTCGACTATTTCTACACTCTAGCTATGTGACAACTGAAACAATTTTTAAGGTGCTGGAGTTTTGTCGGGTGGAAAGGCCCCCTGCGTTATATGACCTATTTTCAGAAGTATAGAACTTTAAACATCTCCTTTATTCGTTCCCATTTGTTATCATTGCCATTCTAATGTTGTTCTATACTTCTCTGTGTATAACTGTAAATAATATTACTTACGAAATTCCAAAGTGGGCATCAATGTAATTTTCAACATTAATTGTTACCTTCATGCCCACAGTTCACTGTTAAATCATATCTTATTTTACCACTCATTAATTTATTACTTATTTTGTTTTACAATTTACATGCTATATCCTTATGTCCCTAGAAGGGTGTTCTGCTAACAGTTTTTGACTGACTTGAATGTCCTGCACAGCAGATTGAAGCTTCTTAAATTATTTTTTATTCTTATTGTATTGCTGTGTAAATTTGATTCTAATTCTAATTCTAATTCTAATACCTCTATTAGAATACTATGTAATTTTATCATCAAAAAAATGTCGATAAACTAACTAGTTATTTTGCCAGCAAGGAGCTGACAGAGTTATAATAATTTTTTTGTGACGAAATTACCCTATTTTTGACCATGTTGTGGTAGTTTAATTGTGACACTGTTAACATATTACCACACGTTAATGATTTATGTGACTGGTGCATGGTACTAGCAGTGTTGTTGAATAGGCATGGATCAGATCATTTTCCAGTCTATTGTGACTTCTCTTTGGAATTTGAAAAGAAATATTTTAAAGATATCACTTACAGAAATTTGAAGACTGTGGATGATGACCAATTTACCAGTGATCTCTTCGATATAGTAAACTTGATTGATCTTGGGAAAATTGGAACTACTGATATGAGTGCATCTGTTGCCAACTTGAACGACTTGTGTGCTGAACTCCTAGATGAGCATGCTCCAATAGTCTCCAAGAAGGTATCTGTTATTGATTCTGCACCTTGGTTTGATAATGAATACAGGGACTACAGAAAGCTGAGAAGAAAAGCCGAGGCAAAAACTCGTAAACCAACAGCAACGCTTGAAGATAAAATCATGTTTAGAGACATCAGCTCAGAATGTTCTAAAATGGCTGATCTGAAGAAGAAGGAGTACTTTAAGAATATGGTAGAAAACTCTAAAGGCAACCCAAGAACTTTGTGGCAGCTGGTCAATAGAA